CATCAGGACAGCCCCACTCCACGCTCTGGGCTGTGGAGCTCTAGGAGCAGCAGGAAATCACAGCCCCTGCCAGCCTGCTCTCCCTGTGCCACAGCCAAGGGATGGCACCAGGCTCCAACGTGCACCCTCCTCCCAAAGGAGCAGAGGCTCCTGGCTGAAGCTCAGAGCTGGGTGCTGCAGGCAAAGGCTTCCTGGGATAGAGGGCCTCGGGAAGCTGCACTCCCACAGCCACAGAACTGGGGCTGAACTAGCAAGCATGCCTGGATCCCTTGGCAATTGGGATGGGATCCCACCCCATAGCAGCTTCAGGATTTTGGGACAGGACTGCAGCTGTGCTGGGGTGAAGGAGTCAGGAGAAGGCAAACAACAACCCAGAGCCACATCCCTGAGGGGCAGGGAGCTGGACCTCACACACGAGGCCCCTGAAGTCATGACCTCCCCACAATAAGGCCAACCTGGGGGACACGTTCACCCCACAGTCCCCTCCCATGAGCACCGGGGACCAGTGAGGGGACAGCAAAGAGCAGTGCCAGGCCATCAGGCCCCACATACTTGGTGTAGCCATTCAGGCAGGCCTTCTGCATGGCATCAATGGTGTAACGCAGGAACTCATGTGCGTCCTCCTGCCTGCCAAAGCGCAAATTATGGGAAATCTCTGCAAGAGAGGGAGGAATTAGCACATGCTGCAACAGATGCTGGCCATCCCTGCCCCCCTGGGGCAGGAACTCTGCGGTTCAAGCCCCCTCAACCCAAACCAGACATCAGACTTATGCCAGCCACAGGGCAAGTCCCAGGCAGCCCCCTGGCAGGCTCTGTGAGTTGTCTCAGTGGAGCCATCTGGCAAAATGTGCCCCAATCCCAACGGTTCTGCTTCCACGTTAGTCACGGGGGGAAGGGCAGCCATCCTTACTCTTGAGGTCTCGGATGATGGACAGTGGCTTTATCGCGTTGCCGCTGTTGGCAAAGGCCTGGATCGTGTGGTTCTGCATAGTGCACATCATGCAGAAGCTTCCGTGGGCACCTGGAGCAGGAGAGATGATGGGACGTTGGGGGCAAACCCGGGAGAGACGGAGGCAGCACAGGAGATCGCTGATCCAACACAGCACAGCCACGCTCGGTCTTCCCCACGAGCTCTGTGCTCCAGGACAGCTCTGGGGCATCCCAGGGACATGAGAACCAGCACACGTCACACCGACTGGCAGAGCCCATCACAGGACCAGCCATGGCAGCCCCCCTGGCGAGACAGCATCCACATGGATGGAAAACAGGTCCCAGGGACTCACTGGATGAGCCCACAGGTCAGCTCTGAGGGGTAGATCCCACTGGAGTCCTACAGACTGGGCTGCAAGCCCTTTGTGTTCCCCATGGTGACAGCCTGGAGCAGGGCCTGCCACACTGCCCTCATGCAGCCCCCACAGGCAGGAGCTATTTGGGACCCCTCAGCTCAGCCCCCGAGAAGCCAGCAGGTCCACTGGGCCTATCTTAGTCCTGGCTACACCCAGCAGAGACAAAGTCTCCCCAGAGACAGAGATGCTGAGCTTGGGAACGCTGCTGTGACCAGGAAACGTGAGTTGGACCCGGGAACAGCCTCTCGATGGAGAAACAGGCAGAAGGGAGCAGGGAAGGTGCAACCCGACACCCAAACCCCCTCACCAGAGCCAGGCGCAGGGGTGCTGAGCACAGCACTGCGAGCGGGACCGGCAGACGCTGCTCCTCCCTCCCGGCCCCCCGAACCGGGGTCCCCACTCACAGGTGCGCCCGTGCTCCCGGGAGAGCAGGTAGTTGGTGAGTGGCGGCGTGTAGGTCAGGCACTGCAGCGCCGAGTTTAGGAAGCAGGTGTTCCCCAGGTTGCTCAGCCCGGCGCCCACACGGTGGACACGCTCCCACTTCATGGAGAGGCGCTGGGCCGGGAAGAGCACCTTCTGGGGCGTGGGGATCCCGTCACTCGCGGCCCTCGGGGAGGCTCCTCCGCGGCCTGCGGGGAGCGGGCGGTCAGCCCGGGGGGG